CCTTGATTTGAACATGTTGAACTAGTTTGTAAATCCTGAATTCGTACTCGTAATCACGGTCTAAGAGCGTAGATCAAAAGCTTCTAGTTTTTGTACACTATTGGTAAAGATTAGTGTGATATAAGAGGATCTAACTTGAATCAAACAGGTGCGGGAACTGGAAAATGACCCACACTTCAATGCTGGTAAAGGTTCGGTCTTGACCAACAATGGCACAGTGGAAATGGAAGCTTGCATCATGGATGGAAGTACAAAGAACTGTGGAGCTGTTTCTGGCCTCACTACAGTTGTTAATGCTGTATCTCTGGCTAGACTAGTCATGGAGAAAACTCCACATATATATCTTGCGTTTAAGGGAGCCGAAGCATTTGCTAGGGAGCAGGTTTGTGAAAATAATGTTCATTAGTTTGTTCTCTTTTCAGAGATACAAAATATTGCCTTTGCCTAGTAACTTGACTGAAGTTGCTAATTGTGGCGATTTTGTTATCTAGGGGGTTGAAACTGTAGACTCGAGCCATTTTATCACTCCGCAAAATATTGAGAGATTGAAACAAGCAAAAGCAGCTAACAGTGTTCAGGTATGCTGCACAATCTCTCACTTCCATCCTCATTGCTGGAATGTTCGCGTGTTCATGTTTGATTAGACCATGAATTGGATTTGGAATCGACATTAAATTAATGAACTGCTGCTTTCTTTTGATTGGGATTGTTTAATGCTTCATATTATGATGTCAATCAAAAGTTGTTCAAACTTTGCCTCAGTATCCTTGTTTGTGACTTTAGTCTATCTCTATATGTCTCGTCTCGTTTTGTGTTAACATTGAATGATTCTCAGCCTCAGAGTTAATGTCAAACATGTATGCAATCAACTTTACAGGTAGATTATACACAGCCTATACCAATAGTTGATGAACCACCAGTTTCCAATGGGGATAGCCAAATTGGGACGGTGGGATGTGTAGCTGTTGACAGTTCTGGAAATTTAGCGGCTGCTACGTCTACTGGAGGACTAGTAAACAAGATGGTTGGTAGAATAGGAGATACTCCCCTTGTTGGTGCAGGAACATATGCAAATAAATTCTGTGCAGTGTCTTGTACAGGCAAAGGTGAAGAAATTATCCGCGCAACTGTAGCAAGAGACGTGGCTGCTCTAATGGAATACAAAGGACTAACTCTGAAGGAAGCAACAGATTATGTTATAAAAGAATCTACACCAAAAGGGACTACTGGCTTGATTGCTGTGTCTTCCACAGGGGAAGTCGTCACACCATTTAACACAACCGGCATGTTTAGAGCTTGTGCTACTCAAGATGGAAAAACACAAATAGGAATTTGGTAACTTTGAGGTAAGGAGTTTGTGTGTTTCCTCAAACTTGAGACATTTTGAATACGTTGCTTCATATTTGCTTAGATTTTATTTCAATAGTTTATGCTTTCATTGCTTTTTTGATATAAAAGGTCAACTTTTCCGAACATCCAAGGACTAGATCCGTTCAGGTGTATATATCAAGGACCAAAATAAATCAACATTAATAGATTAAGGAACATTTTGATCATTTTCTCGATAAAGACATAAAGAGTAAAATATAAAAGACAGCTTTAAACAGCAAGAGTCAGTTTGATTAGTAGGTATACAATCTGCAAGATTAGCTGTACCTTGAAAGAGTAGAAGTGGGTACAACTTGTTGGCCGGCAGTAGATATTATTATTAATATTACTCCATTATTTATTCGCAATTATTGTAAGCAAGAAATAGAATTGATGAAATCAAGATATCATAGACTGGGAGAAAGATAAATAATCTCTAAAAGAATATAGTTTCTTTTATCTTAATCATGTCAGAGGATTCAAAGAAGCTCCCTGATGAACTTCCTACAGAATCATCACCAGCCCCATTACCAATTCTTGGTTAGCTTCTCTACCTTTTCTCCTTCTAAATTTGTGTTGTTCAATCTTAAAATGTTGTCAAGTGCGTGTCAAATCCTTCAAAAGTAGTGCATTTTGAAAGATCTTATAACATTTTTGGAGAGTCTGATCAACATAGATATTATGTGTATGTCCAATAACTCAGTACTATTGAACGGATTGTTTTCGACTTGAACTATAGTCTATACATACTTGTACCAATAAAAATTCGATTCAAGATGTGTACATATATATAAGATATTACTGTTCTGTTTGAACTCACTGATTGTAGATCTTGGATTCGTCTACGATTTGTAGTATTATATTGCAATAATGAAAGAAATTTTTGGAACAGATTGGAGTAGCCCACCAGGTGGGAATATGTCATGGCCAGAATTACGAGGAGTGACAGCAGAGGAAGCAGAGAGGAGGATAAAGGAGGAGAAACCAGAGCTGAAGATACATATAATTCCACCTAATTCAATGGTGACTATGGATTATCGTTTAGACCGGGTTCGTCTCTTTGTAGATGAATCTGGAAAAGTTGCTCAAGTGCCTAGACTTGGCTAAATCATATATTTCCTTGTAAAACATTGAGAATCAAGGATGTCTCCTTTGCTTTTCTATGTGAATTAATGTTGTATTACTATGTATAATGTGTATGTTTATGTCTATCTAATCTGGTTTCACCATGGATTATGAATAAAGATTGGCAGATGAACTATCAATGTCCATAGGTTCTTTTTTATAAAGTAAAAAAGCTTCTTTATGTAATATGTGGATATGGTGATGTGGGCAGTTAGACATCAAGATTCGTGATGTTCATATCAACTTACATGTGCGTAGCTTATATCAGCATAACCATTAAGACTTAGACAGATGAAAAGAAATCGCTTAAATCAACAATTATTGTTTCAGTCTGCATTAGCTGGTATTTTATAAGTAGCATGTGGTCTCTATTCTCTTGCATACAGAATATTTTGTACTACTAATAATTTGAAAGGAAACAACCAAACTCTTTTAATAAAATGGATACTTTGGTTAGTGGTTGCACAAGTTGACAAGTGGGTATAACTTATAAGGGATTCAACTTCCTGGCTGCATATTGACACGGGTTTTGACCAACGTTGTTCAAACTCTTTAAAAATATTGTCGGATTTTTATTTTAGAAGATATTTTTGAAGAGTCCTAACAATACTAATACATTTAGGCAACACACATCAAATATTTGAATAAGTAATTTATCCTACAGTTTAAATTAAACATAAAATAAATTTTGTTGTAGAAATTAATTTCAAAATTATTTATCTCTTAATCCTCGTTTCAGAGCCTGTTTGGATGGGCTTTTAAGCTGGTCAAACTGGCTTAAAAGCCAGTTTTTGACTTATTAGAGTGTTTGACAATTATCAAAATGACTTATTTTAAGTCAAAAATGACTTATTTTAAGCCAAAAGCTAAAAGCTAGGGGGGGGGAGCTTCTTTTTTTTTAACTTAAAAGCACTTTTATGTTGACCAAGTATATTACCTTTTTGCCCTTAATTCTTTTATACAATTTCCAAATTGCCCATATTGAATTATTATTATTATTATTATTATTATATTATTATTATTATTATTATTATTATTATATTCTTATTATTATTATTACTATTACTATTACTATTATTATTATTATTATATTATTATTATTATTATTATTATTATTATTATTATTATTATTACTATTACTATTATTATTATTATTATATTATTATTATTATTATTATTATTATTATTATTATTATTACTATTACTATTATTATTATTATTATATTATTATTATTATTATTATTATTATTATTATTATTATTATTATATTATTATTATATTATTATTATTATTATATTCTTATTATTATTATTATTATTATAATTAATTATAATAATATTATTATTATTATTACTATTACTATTATTATTATTATAATAATAATAATTATAATTATTATTATTATTATATTATTATTATTATTATGTGTATTATTATTATAATTATTATTATTACTATTACTATTACTATTATTATTATTATTATTATTATTATTATTATTATTACTATTACTATTATTATTATTATTATTATTTTATTATTATTATAATAATAATAATTATAATAATAATAATAATTATAATAATAATAAATATTATTATTATTATTACTATTACTATTATTATTATTATGATATTATTATTATAATAATTATTATTACTATTACTATTACTATTATTATTATTATTATTATTATTATTATTATTATTATTACTATTACTATTACTATTATTATTATTATTATTATTATTTTATTATTATTATTATATTATTATAATTATAATAATAATAAATATTATTATTATTATTACTATTACTATTATTATTATTATTATATTATTATTATTATTATTATTATTATTACTATTACTATTACTATTATTATTTTATTATTTTATTATTATTATTATTATTTTATTATTCTTACTATTATTTTTTTTTTATTTTATTATTATTATTATTATTATTATTATTTCTGAAATATGAATTTATATTCCTCTTATAAGGTGGTAAAGAAATATGTGAATGATAGAAAAATATTATTACTTATGGATGTAAAACATAAATTAATTTTGTTTTAATTTTTTTTTTAAGTATAAAAACCTTAAATTAATCAACTTTTTATCATGTTAACAGCTTAAAGGGTATTTCAGACATTTTGATAAAGAAAAGTGTTTACCAGCACTTATTTGCCAAACACATCAACAACTTTTTTTTCAACTGCAGCACTTTTATCCAAACACATAACTACTTATTTTAAAAATAAGTTTCAGCACTTTAAAAAGTTACTTTTTAAAAGTTACTTTTTTTAAGTCAATCCAAACGGGCTCTCAAACTCGTCCTTAAAAAGAAAAGAAATAAAAAAGGAAAACCATAAAGAAGGATTTTTTTAAAAATAAAATAAAATAAAATTGGATAAAGACGAGGGCGAAGTTTATGGGATTGTGCAATTCGACGCCAAAATAATGTGAAACGCACAAAACAACATGGCTCTCTTGTAATAATGTATGTAAGACATTCAAAAAATCGAGAAATTGGTGAGCATCCTTCTCTTTCACCTTCCGCCACCGCCTGGTGGTTGGTGACCTCTTCTTCTCCTTCATTGGCTCATCAGGTAACTTTTTTTTGTTTTTTATTTTGGCTGATATCTCTCCCTAAATCCCCGTTTTCAAGAAAATGTTGTAATTTGGCGATAATAGAGGGTTAAATCGAATCATTCAAGAAACCCAACAACGTTATTGTTTGCAAGTTTAAATCTTTATCAATGTACAGCCTCTTATATGAAATTTACTGTGGCGCTAATAGTTGAAACGGGAAAAAATGTCAGCTTTTAGGAACAACAATAATAGCTAAGTCTCAATTTCAAATATGTTGGGGTATTGGGAATGATTGTAAATAGGAAAACATGTTTTGTGTTATTGGTAGGTAATATTGGGAACTTAGATAGTAGATTGAGGACAGGTTGTGTTGAAGCATGGCTTGGATTATGAACTTTCACCTCCTTTCATGGGGTCAATTATACATTAGTTTATCTGGTTTTGCGAATCCAAAAGTACTTATTTTTGTAAGAAAATATGCTTATTTTAGAGAGTTGAGTTGTATGGCCAAGATTTTAGGAAAATAATGAAGTGTTTTTGAGTTTTGAGTAATAGCACTAGTTGTTTTTTTCAGAAGCCAAAAAAGTAGCTTATCGCCCTAAGCACTTTGGAACCTTGGCCAAACAAAATTTGATTAGCCAAACATAAGCTGCTCTTCCAAAAAGTGTTTTTTTTTCTAAAAGCACTTTCAAAATAAACAGACTTTTGAAGCTTGGTTAAACAAGTAAATGTCTTCTGTATCCATTCTGCTGTTTTTCAGTTGATAAATTTAGTGGTCTATAAAATTAGAGATTCTCTAAATGTGATGTTGTGAAAAATGTAAGTTAAAATGCTAATCAAGCATTACTTTTCCAGAAGAAAAGAAAGAATCTTCACTTGTTGTATGTAGTTGCTTGCATGATGTTTGTGGTCATAGATTGGGATCATGAAGCTATCACCCACTAGGAAAGTAGACATGACAGGCTTTATTTGGTGAGTTCTACTTTGTTGACATTACTAGAACAAGAATAATATATACAATTCTACTTAAAATAGGAATAAGAATTGAAATAGTATATAGAATCCTACTTGAAAAAGGATCGTAATGTAGTATTCTAGTTGAAAAAGAGTCTAATGTAGTGTCTGTAGATAGAATCTCAATGAAATAATGTAGATACACAATTCAATAATATTTTTCTCCTATATTTCTTAGACATATTTATGCCCCACGGGTTGCTTTTGCAGGATTAAGGAGGGGGAACTTGGGGCCTAAAATGGAAACAAGATCAGAAAATTTTTCTATTGATTTTCTGATGGGAGGAACAGCAGGCATTTTTGCAAAAAGTGCTGCAGCACCAATTGAGCGAGTAAAGCTTTTGTTGCAGAATCAAGGAGAATTGATGAAGAGGGGTCAACTTAAGAGACCATATGTGGGAATTGGTGATTGCTTTCAAAGAATTTTGCGAGAGGAGGGTTTTATGTCATTGTGGAGGGGAAACCAGGCCAATGTTATAAGATATTTCCCAACTCAGGTAGCTATTCCTCCTCATCTCCTTGTGATGTTTGGGACCTCTATCTCTATATTACTTGACTTTCTATATCAGTTATTAGCACACTGAACAGTTAACCTTCATATTTCACTTCCCCCTGAAATACCACCTAAAATTAGATTGATGAAGCCCAACTTATTGATTAAAAATGTAAGATGTAATGCTTCAGGGAGTTGGCGTCTCCCTTGGTTTGTCAGACTAGTCAGCGTTCTACTATTCCCCTGATATCCACTAAGGTTTTATACATAGTTTTGGTTGGTTCAGCTTATCTTGGAGATAAGCTCAATCACTCTTCTTTGGCAATCATTTTCCTTATCCACTATAAATTCTCATAATCTTTTGCCTTGGACTAGGACATTTCGTGATGGCTACTCTAGTAAGTCATCCTTTATGTGTTTCTTGATTGTATTCACAGTGTTTTCTGAATGATTCAGGGCCCTTCTAGGTCCCCTGAAACAAGGCCTTTCTTAGTTACCATGTCAACTTTAGTGAAAAACCTGCAGCTTCTTAGTTAATGCTCTTATGTACATGTGACCTATAAGATAACCAAATCTAACATTGTCTGCTTCAAAATGTGCCAAAGCGGCAATTTTACAAAGTAACCAATAGACCCACCCAACACTCCCTTCATGCTAAATGCTTTGAGAGAAGTTCCATTTACGAAACCTGAGGGTTCATGCTAAGTGTTTTGAGAGATAACGAATAAATGTAGGAGAGTGTCACTATCTTTCATTAGCTCGTGTTTAGCTGCATGTATGTATTTGCTCGAGGAACTATTCATTAGCTCATGTTGTGTCACTAATATCAAAGTGAGAAACATAGATATTAGTATGAATCTAAGGTGAAACGAGAACGCCAATATGCACAGGATGTGACTAGGCGAATGCCCACTTATTGGGGGTTGGGTCATGAAACGCTTACTCACATGCTTGTTCTGGACATTTAGACAGGTTTGAGCCTGGAGTCTGCCATTTAAATATTGGTTTCTTTTATTCATTGAAATTTAGCACCATTCTGGGCAACCCTCCATAGATATTAGTATGAATCTAAGGTGAAAGGAGAACGCCAATATGCACAGGATGTGACTAGGCGAATGCCCACTTATTGGGGGGTTGGGTCATGAAACGCTTACTCGCATGCTTGTTCTGGACATTTAGAGCATGCCTTCTATTATTGTAGGTTTGAGCCTGGAGTCTGCCATTTAAATATTGGTTTCTTTTATTCATTCAAAGTTGGCACCATTCTGGGCAACCCTCCTTAGACTCTACTCATCAGTTTGTCAAATGGATGTACCCAATATGACTAGATCCAATATGATCTTTTCATAGCTTAGTCTGAATGGGAAATTACTGTTTACTGTTGCGTCAGATCACAGATGTACTGTAGAAGAGTATGCTATGCATATTTCCTATTTAGATTTCTGCCTAGTAGATTGCTCACACACTTTCTTTTCAAGAAAGTAGTAATCTGTGATCTTTGCTGTTATTATTTTGCTGGGATGTGTTCGGTCAAGCTACATTCATCTCATGTACTTAGGGGTGATATTGCCGAGTTTTGGTTGAACATGGGCTGTTAATGCTGAAAGATACTCTATATGTGATGCACTCAATCTATAATAAAGTCCCCTTGCATCACTCAAATAGTGTCTTGCATTCCTTTTTCCTTTTGTTTCTTCTGTCATGCTTTGCATCCGCAAAAAGATTGTCCTCTTCACAATTGCATATAGTGCAAGAATGAATTATAGTATCAAATAATTGATGGAAATGTTTCTGTACTTAAATCTTAATATTGTGAATTATATTTTCATATGGATTTTATCAGTAAATTCTCATAGATATTATTTTCAATTGTTCAACTAATATAATATTTGATGAGCTTACACAATTGTTTCTTTCACAGGCTTCCAACTTTGCTTTCAAAGGTTACTACAAGAACCTCTTTGGATATTCAAAAGACAAAGATGGATATGTCAAGTGGTTTGCAGGGAATGTGGCTTCCGGTAGTGCTGCTGGAGCAACTACATCCATGCTCCTTTATCACTTGGACTATGCAAGGACTCGGATGGCGATGGATGCTCAGGATTGTCCACTTAATGGTAAACGTCAGTTTAAGGGGCTAATAGATGTTTATGGTAAGACATTGTCAAGTGATGGAATTGTTGGTCTCTATCGGGGTTTTGGGGCCTCAATCATGGGAATAACTCTGTACCGAGGCATGTACTTTGGGATCTATGACTCCATGAAGCCAATTGTTTTAGTTGGACCCTTACAGGTAAATTAGATTGCTAGATTGGCACTTTTCTGGTTGGAATTTTTCTCTTTGTTATTGCACCATTTCCTTCTTGTCGATATAGTTGACCCAACATGATAAAGTCATAAAACTATAAACAGCTTGTGCCTGTAGTATGACTTGAAACATTAATTCCTCAATGTCCATCGTACGAAGAGAAACAAGGGCAAATCAGATAAGGAGAAAATAAAAAGTTGTTATTTACATAAAAAATTTGGGGTATTTGTGGGGGAAGGGATGGAAATTTGTTATGTTGCTGATCTTCTTTAACAAGGAACATGCATATGACCAGTTAAAGTACGACAGCAGAAACTAATTTCAACATTCGTTTGTATACACAGGACAATTTTCCTGCCAGTTTCATGTTGGGTTGGAGCATAACCACTTTCTCTGGGGTGTGTGCCTACCCATTTGACACAGTCCGCAGAAGAATGATGCTAACTTCAGGGCAGGAAACAAAGTATCGGAATTCCATGCATGCACTCCGCGAAATTATACGCCTTGAAGGTTTTGCTGCACTTTTTAGAGGAGTAAGTGCAAACATGCTTTATGGTGTGGCAGGGGCTGGAGTACTTGCAGGGTATGACAAATTACACCAAATTGTATATAGACCTACTTACAGTTTTGAGTCTCAGAGAGCCTTCAACAAATAAGAGCTTTACATGAATACTGTATATGTGTACAACCCTATTTGTGATCCATGTGGAGGGTGAGTTGTTAACGGAAGCAGAGATGGCAAGAGTATTCATTTCACCAACCGTTGTGAACAAAAGGAGAACAACTACATGCAGGATGCTTGCGCACAAATGTTTTAGCTCTGTGAATATGAACTTCATCACTTGTGCTACTGTAGACTACTCTCTTAGATGCTGTTGGACCATTGAACAGAATAATGAAGTGCGCAGTGGCATATACAAGAGAAATCAAGGCAGAAGTAATGAAACAAGTGCCTCCATCCTGTATTTTCTGTACAGTCCATTCCTAACTTTGTTTTCTTTCTTTTTATACCCCAGACTCCCGGTGGAATTAACCATTGATACTATAGGCTTTTCTTTTTTCTTTAGAAAAATATGTTGTAAGTGCAAATAGTAGATCAATTCACCTGTATAAATGCATTGATTTTCTTGGTATAATATGATCGTTACTTGGTGTCAATATCTTCACTTTTGTAATATTAGCTCCAGCTAAACTATGTTACATTCTTCACGAGTGTTTACACCAAATCCAGTTAACTACAATGAGAGATACATGTCATGTGTTCATTGTAGTAAGTTTTTCTCTTTGAGCATTTAAGGATCTGGCTGATTTGATACATAGGCATGCCAATTATTTCGAACCAGGAAGAATAGAAGGTATTCATGTTGAAATGACAAAAAATTCCTTCATTTTGAACTAAAAAGGTATATTAATTGAACAACTTCTCTCTACCTTCACGAGGCAGGAGTAAGGCTACGTACACACCATCCTCCACTTTGTGGGATTATAATGTTGTTAAAAAGGTAAATTAAATTATCTATCAAGTTCCATTAAGCCAAAAGCCAAAAGTTCTTATGACGCTTGGTAGTAATGAGATATCCTCCATACTTGCTGCTCTTCCTTCTCACAGCAATTGTCATGCAATTTGCCTTCTGAATACAGTATTCCACAACTCTGCTTCTTGATTTTTTCCTTGTCCATATTCTTAGCAAGCACCACTTTATCGATCTTTTCCTCTGTCCTAACACCAGTAAAGATGCCTTATGTTGCCTTGCTTCTTCAACAACCACAGCTCCTTTCTCTTTTCCTTCTTGCATTACTATCTCCACCTGTACCTAATGTGATGCACATAATGAAAACTTAGCACCAGAATGAATTCTAAGTAGTTATCTTTTTTGAAAATAAGAAAGTCAATATGCCTAAAGATCAATTTCTCCCTCCGTAATACAATCAGTTCAAAAATACACCTGTCGTTACCTATATGGTTCAAATATACCCCTAATCCGTTAGGATTGTTCAAGGTGGACACTCAATCCCACGTGACAGTGACATTTCCAATGCATTTACTACCTCCCCTCCACTTGGTCCTTTTTTTTCTTCCAAAATTGGGGGGAGGGGAAGAGGAAATGGGGATGGGATCACCGAATTTTCACCAACGATGTGAAAGTTCAGTAAGCCAACTGGACTACTAAAATTCTCACTTAAGTTTCCATATAATTGATTAACTTTTTTCCAGATAAACCTACAAAATACTTACTCCTGGTTTCTTTGTTTGGCACATATTTTTCATGGAGCAAAGAAGTTCATACGCCCTCTGATTAATTTCACTGTTGGCTTTTTCACCTACATCATATTAAACAGAACATAATTAGTTATCAAGTAAAAAAAAACTAGCTGAGCGCTAAACTCAGTGACGGAGCCAGAATTTTAACTCGGGGAGTCAAAAGTTTTACCTTCTTTTGAGATTTTGCTAACATAGAGAAGAAGAATAGTATCCTGGCTTTGAACAGTATGAGAAAGTGCCCATTGCAAAGCACAATTGGGATCAAGACTAGGATCAACCACAACCATAACTCTGTTATTATTACCAATACTCTCAGAATCCGGCCTCGACTCGACACTGTTGAAGCTCATTTCCGTGCTGCTACAATATTTACTGTCAGAGTCGTTGAACTTGATCGAGCCCGTGTTCTTGTACTGTTGACAAGGAGAACGGGCTCGAACACGAACAACCGCTCGACTCATACAGAATCCGTGCAACTTTGCACGGAACCGATTCATCCTTATGCCTAAATTTCAACTGATCAAAAAAACTGAAAAATTCAGTTTATGACTAATGGAGAGGGCCAAAGAAACAGAGTAAATTTAATTTAGTGGTCTCTAATGGGACCAATTTATATACATATAATATTTTATTATATATTGTGTAATACGTGGAGAGAGGAGTCTTGACTTTTTATATACGTAATATGTTGGGTAATAGGAACAGACTTTAATAGTCATGCACAATTATTTACAGGAATCTCTTTGAATTTTCCAAATATGGGAGTTTTTGACGTGCCAACAATTATCGTGAAGTGGTCCATTAGACTCATAATGACTGGTTGTTGAATTCAGTGTTGTATCACATCGCTCATTTTGTTCTATGATTCTTCTTGTGAGTAGATTATTTGTGGCATACGTAAAAGACTCGTAGAGCTGCAATTCAATTTGAAAAAGATTCAAACTTCTAGCATTAATAAATTTGTTGTTAGGCAATCAAATCAGGGTTGTGACGGAATGATAAGTAATCTTTCATTCTTAATGAAAGGTTTCAGTTTGTTAGTTGGCCTCAATATGGATATCGAACACGCAATGGAAAAAAAAAATACATTGTAGTTAGGCCCCTTATTTAAGTTGTATATATGAAGAACTATTACATCCATCAGAGCCGGCTATAAGTTTATAACATGTTACTTAGTACTATTTATTATTCTATAATTTTGATCATGCTAAATAAATAGATTTACTTGTATTTGTCTTTTCAGTAATCTAATTATATAAATATTTTCTATATTATCAATACATAGAGTTTTTATTTATTTATTTATTTTGTTGAAATTCCAACCATTTATCATTCCAGTTAGTTATTAGTTGTAGAAATATGAATGCAACTCCGGCCGTTGAAATATTTCTTGGTTGTTATCACTTAATTCGAAGCTCGTGTATCACTTCTTTTGCTATTTTTTCTTTCTTTTTTTATCCACAAATTAATAATAGTTAAAAGCAAAACTTATTCATTTTACTAATAAATTGTAAATGCTTCTCAAATTCTGTTAAATCTTTTGCAAGGATAAAACGTAAGTATATTGTTGTTGTGGACCTGTGGTGTGTGTATATATATATAAATCTTGATTTGAATGCACTTCTTTTTGTCTCCTATGTGTCGAAGACCTATTCTTGTCTTGGTCTTGGTCTCTTTATTTTCTGGGAGCAACAGAATTAAAATTTTAAATTTTAAAATAATTATAATTAATTGAATTTTGAATAAATTATTTATATTTAAATTTATTATTGTGTTGATCCTTTTTATTGTGGGCGAGCAAAAGACATAACTAAAAAAATTTAAATTTTAAAATAGTTATAGCCAGTGGCAGAGCCAGATTCGAACACACGAGCACAACACTTTCTTATTCCAAGGAGGTGAAATCACTGGGCTATAATTATGCTAAGGGTGTCCAAAATATGTTATTCAACCATTTCGTGTATCACTTTACTTGTATATACGATATTTTTTTCCGACGAAATTGGACACCCTGACCACCATGTGGTTACGACTTACGCCACTGGTTATAGCTAATTGAATTTATTAAGTATTTTTTTAAAAAATTGACCAATATTACTGAATTTTGCCGAATTATTAACTATCCCTCTAACTCTGCCCTTGGGATCGAGGGGTTGAGGGTGTTTAAACTCATCAATTGGTTTATTACATTTGTCACTTTCTAATACGGTAACTTTTTTATTTATGTTAGATTTATATATTAAAAATTTATTGGCAATATTCTATGTTGGAATACTAGAAGAGAACCCACTCTTCATGTAATCCTTTTCTAATCATTGGTTTACCAAACTTCCCACCTTTAAAAGTTGCTTAAAAAGAGTTATGTTATTCTCAATCCAAATAAATAAAAAAAATTGGATGATGATATATATATATATAGGACTCTTATCGTATCAATCGAAATATACTTTGCACGAAGAAAAATAATATATCATGTTTAATTAATTAAAAATAATAATATATCATGTTTAATTAATTAAAATATTTTTTGAAAAAATACGAACACTCGTTCACCTGAAACAAAGAAAACATCCAAAGTCAAAGTAATTTTTGGATTTTTGTCTAATTAAATTATTTCGATCACTAGGACTCAATGTCCTTAATTATCAATCATCATACTACCAAAAGTCAAATATTTGGAAAAATATACTTTTTTTATATTCTAATATCTACATGCATAGAAAATTCTTGCTGGCATTCATGATTTTTGTTTTTAACCAACAACCACTTAAAAATAAATTCCATTTTTTTCGTAGAACCAATCAAGAAAAGATGACAAAGAAAATGCAAGTCTTTTGTTTGTTTGTTTCTATCTTATTTTCAATAGCTATTTAATTTTATTCCATAGAACAATAGTTTATGGAAAAGTTAAAAAGAGACATGTCAAATTGACAACCTATAACCAACCAAAAGCATCTTTTGAATAAATTAAAAAAATTATTCATCAAGTACTATATATGTATCATATCTTCTAACTACCATAAAAAATTTATATTTAGCGGCAGCATATTCTTCTTTTAGCGATAATATTTTTTGCCACAATAACATGTAGCAGTAATTGAGTTAATGATATTACTGTAACACCCCGACTTTTCAAAACGTCTAAATTAACTCGTATATTCGTGGAAAGACAAGGAGGGTGAGTAATAAATTAAGAATGATGTGGTATGTCCTATTTTAAGTGTTCAGGTGTTGCATCTCAAGTTAGGTAAGTGGCAAAATAAAAGTTGGCGGAAGTTATCGTAATTTCCTTCTTAAAGATTTCTCGGAAATTTGGGTCAAATGTCTTGGAGGTTTTCTCCCAATCTATAAAGGGTTATGGGGCCCACAAACTATTGAATCGAAGGTCTACGAGTCTAGTTTCCAACGCATCAAACCGTTCATTCATACGACTTCAGAATAGAGAGATATTCGCATTTTCGTGGGACTGCGCAAGCAGGCGCGTGAGGTGGGGCCCTAGGTCGGTGGAAAGTGTATATATCTTCTTCTTCGCGTTTTTTCTTCATTTTAAAGCTAATTATACAGAGAAAACATAGAAACCCATTTTTAGGATCAAGTAAAATATCGATTTTCTCGACGTAAGTTCTTGACGAAAGTTGTTCTACGCGTTGGGCTCATCATCGTGGTATAATTTGTTTTATCGATTGCGTAGCATATCACATTTTAATGTTGGGACAGCAGGGGTTTGAATATATTTAAAGGTTTTGAGGTGAATTACGAAGCTAAGATCGAGGTAAGACCCTTCTTTCATCGACTCTAGCTTTTATAAGCACCAAATAGCAATTTGCGACGGAAACACATATCTTTTATTGTATTGTCATGGTATCTTTTATTTTATGTGTTGATTACGGTCCTACCTTGTTGTAGTATCGAGGGAGTTACGAGTTAAAGTCTTTAGGCGACGTGAATTTAGCGAAAAAGGTATGTTAAGGCTATTCTCTTCCTATGGCATGTTCCTTAAAGCTTAGGAGCAATGTAATTGAGATGTTATCGTTGTTATACTTGTAGCCATCATTGTTGATTGTTGGTTGCTCTAGTGCGTATAATCCTCTCTTATCGGGATTCTTATTCAGTAGTAACATTCGTATGTTGGACACGACTTAGAGGCTAATTGTATAAGTTGCCTATAACTAAATTGCTCACTTTTAGCTGTTGGATTGTTATTGTTGCCTTTGGGCTATTGTTGTTAACTGCAGGAATGTGATCTATGCCTAGCAGGGTTATGTTCTGCCTACAGGGCTGTATGGATGCCTAAAAGGGCTATGAGTTGCCTACGGGGCTATATTGATGCCTAGAAGGGCTATGAGTTGCCTACGGGGCTATATTGATGCCTAGAAGGGTTATGAGTTGCCTACGGGGCTATATTGATGCCTAGAAGGGGTATGAGTTGCCTACAGGGATATATATTGAAGCCTAAGAAGGTTATGTACTCCCTACATGGCCATGTTGTTGCCTAAGAGGGCTATGAGATGTCTATAAGCTATGTTGATGCCTAAGAGGGCTATGTGACTGCCTGCGGGGCTAGGAGACTACCGATAGGGGTATACAGGCTGATTGGCACCTTCCGGGATTATGGGGGCCTGAGTAGGTGGTCTTGTGTGCTGTTTGTACCTACCGAGCTTATGGGGGCTTGGTTAGGTTGTTGTTTTATTATTTTTGATAAATTTAGATTTAGAAGCAGGTCAGTATAATTATCTTATCCTTAATTTATTATCAGATTATTCCAGTATATCAGGATACCTCATCATAGTCTATTGCCTTTCCTACTCTGTACATTATTTTGTACTGACGCCCCATTGCCTTGGGGCGCTGCATTCATGCATGCAGGTCCTGACAGACGACTGAGTAGACCTCCTTATCAGCAGGATTGACTTTTATCCGGCTGGTCAGCCCCTTTCCTCCGGAGCTGCCAGAGTTGGAAGGTTTGTTAACTTTTGTTGTATATATTCTCATGGGTAGGCTGGGGCCCTGTCCCACCAATCTTTACTACTCTTAGAGGCTTGCAGACTAGTGTGTGGGGTTTATAGCTACGTTATGGCCATGCTGGCCTATGTTGTTGGTTTGCTGAAGCTTGTGAGCTGTTTGATGTATTGTACTGATATTTACCTATTTTTAGTTTTGGTATAGATATCATGGTGGCCTCGACGGCCCAATCAGGACTTCTGTGCTAGTTGGATATTTCTTTATATGAACTCTTGGGAGTAGCTGGTTCTTTTGTAGATTTATTGACAGGGGCCTTGCCGGCCGAGGGCTTAATTTTAAGCCGAGATATACTTGTTTGTTTTCTTAATTGCATGTGACTGCCATGCGCTAATAGCAAATGGTTCAGCAAGGTCGGCTCGGGCCTGAGTTTTGGCTTTAGGAGTCAGTTGCACCCTTTGAGTTTGGGGCGTGACAATTACATTCAAAGTCACTAAATCCTTTAATAACATTTATACAAAGTGTTAATTATAAATACTCATAATTATTATTATAGCTAAATATAATATAAAAA